TTTCTTGCTTTAACCTTCTACAATTCAGTTATCAAATTTGCTTGCCTAATGGAAGATCTGCACCTGATCACAAAGTCCAATTACTTACTTAAGAATCACACCTGATCACTAAAGGATAGTTTATGGAGCTTAACTACTCTCAGATGCTAGAGATGTTGCTGAGATTTTTTTTTTTTTTGTGGTTAGGCAGTGGGGTTAAGTAACTTGCCAGGGTTACACAGCTAGTTAAGTGTTATGTGTCTGAGGCCAGATTTGAACTTAGGTCCTCCTGAATCCAGGGCCGGTACTCTATCCACTGCACCACCTAGCTGCTCTTGTTTCTGAGATTTTTGTCCAACAATATTTAGTGGACAGCGTGGTAGAGAATTTCATATTTCATATTTTAAGTATTTTTTTTTAAATTAAGATGCTTCGTGTATTCTGAAACTTAGGCAGATAAACTATAACTGACTTCTGCACCAAAAGTAGGTTCAAAGCAACTTAGCCATGTCCCATCTTTGGATGAATGGTAGTGGAAGTAAAAGTAGAGATAAATGAGCCTGGCTGGATATAACCTACTTTCTTGTTTACAAGAATAGAAATAGTTTTCCTAAAGCCATTACTGCTGTACTAACACATTTGCACACTACAGGTTCCACAATAAGGCTATTAAAATAGTACTGTGCATACTTGTATGGTACTTGACCTCTGGATACTCAGAAGGAATGAACATAAAATACAATTTTACTGCAGAGCACTGAAAGTTTTCTCTCTAATAATTATTTAAAATATACCAAATACTGTAAGAAAAGCTTACAAATTTGATTATATTTAATAGCCATAATACACAATGCTGTTGACTTAAATTAGTATATTCTCATAATTCTTGACACCAAGACCTTGTCCTAGATATTTTTATAAGGTAAAGTGATAACCAGGCAAATATATATTTTATTAAGAAAATTTTCAAAAATACTATGTTCACATTTTAAAAGATCATAATAGTTTGATCTTTATGATAACTCTTCCTCCAAATATCTTTATGTTCTATAAAATCTCTTACCTAAGGAACAATTAGTCAAGTAAAAATAGTAATAACTTTCCTTTAGTTTACAAAGTGTTGTTCTCACAATTCCGTGAGAAACACTAGAAAAATGGTCTCATTAACTGAAAAGTAAAAAAGAATGTTTACAAAGTTTGGCATTGTCTCTCATGATATTCCTTTTCTGTTCCTGATATAACAAAATACCTTAAAATGCCATATAACATTCATATTGTTTGATCCATATATCAAGCTTTCAATTTTGCCTCTCACCTATGTATCAAAGATATTCATTTAAAATAATGACTAAGCTAAAAAAAACTAATTGTTATGATAAAACGTATTTACACACAGTGTTTATATGGTTGTTCTTAGTACGTAATTCAAAGTCTTATATGTATAATGTGGTTGAGTCTCTAAGTCAATCAAAATAATCTACTAAAGTTGAGATTTGCTTTTGTGCAAAAACTTAGAGTAGCCCCAAACAATTTCTGACTTATATAATATAAAGTGAGTTCATTCTCTATTATATAATCTATTAAAGAATAAAGAACATGGATGGTGAAATTAATCAATATGGAACTGGTTTCATTAAATGTGAAACTACTAAAATAGTAAACAAGGAAAAGGAAAGGTATCTTGGTTCATTCACTAAAAACATATCACCTAATGACTAATAAGAGATCTCTCAATTCCAATATGCTTTCCATGAAAGAACATTTCATTTTATTCCATTAACTTTTAATCCAACAGTTAGAATGACTTTAATTTCAAGGAAATTTAAGTGCCAATTTTCTAAAGAAAGAGGTAGCCGGAATTATTGAGACCTAGAATGAACATTCTATAGCTGTACTAATCTGATTGCTAAATGTAATGCCTTCAGTTGTTCCGCCTGAACACCATGGCCTTCTTAATGAAGCCCTGTACTAATTTTCATATTTGCATTGTGACATCCTACAAGAGTTTAAAACTATACAAAATTTGATTAAGGTACATTCCACTAATTCAGAATTTGTGATCATTTGACTTGGAGCTGTGCTACATAATATATTACATTTACTCTGCAATGGATTCCCTAAGAAAATTAATATTTCAAATAATGTTACAAGAATTTCAAAAGGATTTTAAAGGATTTTAGCACCACTCATTTTCATATAAAGCAATCTCTATCTCAAATATAAACAAGTCTTGTTGATTCAATAAAAGACACCAAGGAGCTCTGTTGGACAATCTATTAAGCAATGAGTTCAAATTGTTGTATATATTACATTTGAAAAATAATAAAATTCTATTTTCATACTATAATCGGAAACTCAAGACTTTTTTCATTCAGAGTAGTTTTCTTCCTAGTTTTATTGAATATAAATCCATGATATTATAGTTCAAATAAATGTATTATACATATATAAACTTAAAATTTACTCAAAATCAAACATTCATATCACTTGACATTTAATGTACATTTTTAAACTGGTATCTTAAAGTATGGTTTACTTTGGCGCTTTTGGGTTTCCAATGTCTTTCAGGTCATAAGGGCATAAAGATTCATTAATAGCTATAGAACCATCTAAACTATTCATTGCATCTCTGCGAATGCTAACCTGGAGAAGCAGCATGGTGTATGACAGAGGCATCAAACACTCCTCAACACTACACTATAGCTCAAACCAGATTTAAATATAACTGGGAAATATTTAACAAAATAAAAAACAATATAGATAATTTTACATTTTAAAACTAAATCAATGTGTAGCCCACAGGGATCCTTTTGTATGAACTAGTCACTCCCATCTCTATTTAACACCACTTGTATTAGCAGATAAAGCCCACATCAGAACCAGACTGACAGACAGATAAAGTGGTTATTATGTGCCAGGCACTATACTAAGTACTGGGAATAAAAAGATAAGCAAAAGAGACAGTCTCTACTCTCAAGAAGCTTTGTTTTACCATAAAAGAGGAAGAGAGAGGAAAGGTACGCTCAAAGAGGCAAGACTGTAAGGGGAGGTAGATAAATCCAGAATAAGAATTGCAACTGGGGGAAGTAACCATGTATAGCCTGGGCATTTCTTGAAATGGTAGTTTCAGGACGGAAATCACAATTTAGAAGAGAAGGACACAGGATGAGAGGCATCACCAGGATGAAATGACTGCTGACACATACTGGCTGTGCAACCTCTCAGTAGTCTTCTGGACAAATCTTTAGGCTGCATTTGAAGAGGGAGTTTGCTCATTTAGGAGTTTCCTAAATCAGTCCTTTATCCTCTATTTTCACCCTAAAGATTTACTCTTAAAAAAAAAAAGTAGTTTTGTGGTGAATAAAGAGTCACTGGGAAAAGTAAGCATGGATGGACTGGGCATTTCATGAAATGGTAGTCTCAGGCAGGAATTCACAATTTAGAATAGGGCCACGAGGTGAAAGGCATGACCACAATGACTGCTGGGAGGAGTTAAGGGTAGAAAAGTCCAGAGTATAGTGGATCTGTGAAAAATGGAAATCCAAAACCAGTTCCAGTGAGAAGGGGGGAAATACCTGTTTCTCTCTATAATGCTACTATTAAAATATATAGTTCACTACTATTAAAATATTTAACAACTCATTTTAACAACTCACTAAATTAAAAATGAGGTAGAATGGAGGCAACTGATGGCACAATGGATAGAGTACTGAGCCTGTAGTCAGGAATACCCAAATTCAAATCTGGTCTAAGACACCATATGAGCACTTAAAACTACTTGTGCCTCAGGTTTCCTCATCTGTAAAATGGAAATAGTAACAGCATTCCTAACTCACTTCTGTGAGGATCAAATGAGATATTTATTAAAGTGTTTAGGACAACCTGGCACATAGTAGGCACTGTATAAATGCTTATTCCCTTCCCCATTCCCTAGACCATCAGTAATCATACCCAGCAGGGCAGATGAGAATAATAAAACACACGATCAGTTTTAAGCTTTATATTATTTTTTCATTGTGAGCCATTTGTTTTTTTATTACCAAATGATTAATATATACCAAGTATAACATAAGCCCTTGTCATATCTGTCATGCTGTCCAAAACTTTAGCTTTTCTATAACATAATCCAATAATCATGTTAGATAATGTAAATGATTTTACATATTTCTTCCCAATTTTATCATTTGAAGCATAAACTATTAAGATTTTTCACAAGCATTTAGTTTTAAAGTTCACAGTTATAATTAAGAAATTTATGGGGGCAGCTAGGTGGCACAGTGGATAGAGCACCGGGTCTGGAGTCAGGAGGACCTGAGCTCAAATCCAGCCTCAGACCAAACACTTGACACTTACTAGCTGTGTGACTCTGGGCAAGTCACTTAACCCCAATTGCCTAAAAAGAAAAAAAAGAAAAAAAAAGAAATTTATGGGTTTAAGGTGGTCTTTTAACTTCTAGTCAACAAAGTATAAATTGGGGTTCAGATTTGTTTACTAACAGTGGTTTACATTTCTAATGATTTCGCACTTATCCATGATCAATATCCATTATAACAGTTCTAAATAAGAGGGAGAACAAATCAATGAGCATACTTTATCAAGTCACATGATGAAAATATTATATAAAGTGGAGTCTGGAACATCCAATGGTTTTAAAAAATATGTGGGGGCAGTCTGTGCTTCTTAAAGGAAGTAAGGACTTATTACTCAAACTAGAGATCATTGGTGCAAATTTATACTTACCAAGACCCATTTTTTAATCTTAGAGACGAAAAATGACATTCTTAATGTCAACTCTAACAAAAACTAACAAAAATAGTTGCTTAAAAAGAAAAAAAAAAGGAGCAGCTTGCAGCTGGGTATGTAGGTTGCATCAAGATGCCAACAGATTCACAGAACAAAGGTTGGGGGGGCTACAGTGTAATAGGAACCTCTGTGCCCTATTTCATTTCTATTTTATAAACAACTACCCAATCCTAAGTAGAATATTACTATATTTTGAATAAAACTACATTACAACTAAACATTTTTTCAATTAATTTATTGTAGAAAAACAAAGGTTTACACACAGTGCCATAAGGCAGCATATCATAAATTCAGTATGTTAGATTTTCAGAAACCCTTACATAATTAGTCCAAGGTAAAGTAATAGAAAATTATTTTTTGCCCTCTCTTGGACTTAGACATCTAATTTCTTTCAGGAAAAAATATATATATAAAAATAAAATGCCAAAACCAATCTCACAAATTAAGTCACAAACCAGTCTTTTCGCATACTATTACAACAATATCAAGATATTAAGAATATGTATGTGATTTTTTGCTCTTCACTCCACAGAAATGCAATTCTGGGATGAAGTACTGATGAGAATGTGAGTGCATTTAAATTGTTATTTTTTTTTAAAACAGCAGAGCTGGTTATTTTAACAACTCATCTGTACCTGAGTGAGACATAGGCCTTTCTGCAACCTTAAACTGGACAGCCCACCAGATATGTGGTATATTATTTCCACAGCAGGTGCCAGCAAGTACTATCTGTTAGAGAGAATACAGAAACTCTGAGACAGAAACTCTTATCAGAAGACTCCTCGATGAAGTTTTAGGCTCTATTAGCTGTAGAAAGAAATAATGTGAAAAACAAAGAGAATTTGGGGAGAGGCATATAGGCAGAGAAAACCATTAACCCAATGTCTCTTTGAAAATGCTAAAAAAACTGTTATTTTAAATATTAGCTGGGCACCAGTTTACTAGCAGCAGGCATCTGCAATACTCCTGAATTCCATATGGCATACTCAAAATTATGCTTGAATAAAAAAAAAAAACAGAAACAAAAAAACCCTAAGTTAAAGCGGAAGCAGAAATCCAAATTACCACATAATTTTTCATATTGCAGTTATTTCATTTTAACATGATGCACCCCTTGAACCACTGGTAGCTATGTTCTTCTAAAAAAAAACAAATAAGGAGTTTCACTTTTAAATATTTTTTCTGATCACATAATTTTGCTACAATTTTTCAAGGGCAAAGGGATTATTGAAGAAAAGCATAAGAATAAACAAACAAGAATTATATTAAATCAGTTGGCAGATGACATAACATCTTTTTATAAATTCTACTCTGAAGTTTAAAAAAGACTTAGTTTTTTAAAAGGATAATGGAGTCTTCTATTCCTGAATCACTAAGATTAAAGTCTCCCTGATGTGGAAATTTTAAAATAAAAATGGAAAGCAGAACAAAGAACAATTTGGGGTAAAGTTATAGAGTTGAGAAAAGAAATGAAGATCCAAAACACTCTATCATAAACATGAACCTTCAGAATACATAGTAAGATCACTAAGTTATTCTGTGTATATAAAATAAGCTGTAATTTTTCCTGAGGTCATTCGTTTTAGGTTGAGATTGTATAGATAGATACTTGATTTTCAAGGTCCAAAATCATGCTGATGACGAAATCTGACAAAGATACATAGTCAAAAGAAATCAATGATCTTTTCTATAACAATTTCTTCATATCCATGTTTGTTTAGCATTCACACCTTACACTGACTCTCAATGTAGGTATTGGTAATTTTCTAAACTTTGCACTGTGGCCGTACTGTGGCCGTAAATTCAAGTGTTATATAATAAGAAAGGTAACATCCATGTCCAAAAGAGGATGAATCAGTACTACTTGAAACAGAATTTGCCAATAAGTTATACACAGTATATCTGTACTAGTTGAAATTTAATTTAGGAATATAATAATTCAGCGCCATAGCATATTTGTTTCATTATAAAAAGTAATGAAGCTGGCATGTATTTAAAGAATGAGTGCTACAATAAGAAACATTAAAAAATATAAGCCCAAGGGATCATAATGAAATTGATCTTAATATTGCCTCAGTGATTGTAAAATCAAGAATTTAAGTTTAGTTTCTATGGTGATCCTCATGGCATCAGTGCTAATCAAAGGTTAGCTCCCTGGGAACAGAAAATAAGAAAACTTACACTTTTAGTATCCTGGGCTTGAATTAGAAATCATTTTTATAATTGACTACTAAAGAAAAATACATTATATGGGATAACTTGATTTTATGATTAAATACACAAACAACTAAGAGTTTACTGTTCATATGGTAGCTAAAATAAAAATGATAAAATATAAACCCAAACTAAAATAAATACACTGTCATGTAAAAATAAAAATTTGTAGATATCACTCTGTATAGATTTAGTGCAGTATTTAAATAAGCATATAAAATGAAAGGATAGGGACAATGGGGAGAGGTGTAGAAGATGACCTTAATAGATAGCTTTTTACATTGAGTTTTTGTTTTATAATGTTACATAACCTGTCATAATAAGCTTATGTCAACAACTTTAAAAACACTGTTACCTAAATACAGCCTATACGGTGAAGTGTACATTTTCATGGCATAACTGCGAATCTAACAACTTTGATTTAAAAATATTTCTTTAAGTAATTTCACTTAAGACATAGGGTTAAGCAAGTATAGGGTTGCTGATTTGGGGTTTGGGGTACACCTATACACAGATTTTATGATAAAGCAAAAAAGTAAAATCTGTTCTCCTTTTAACCACTAAAATAAAACTGACATGCTATGTAAAGTCAAATTATTTTTATCTACCAAAGCCTGAATGACATGAATTGTTACATATGGGAGAAATCATTACAAGTCTTACACATTCAAAGTACCTGTCTTTGAAACGGCCAGAATAAACACCTACTTTTAATTGTTTTCAAAAATGTAATTGGGAGTGTTATTATAGTTCTAAGTGAAAACGTGTCTTCTGACTGACAGATGAAAATATTCTGCCCCAGAACCTCAACTTTGTCAGATAATATTCAGATAAAGGAATATACAAATTGATTTAGTTTCTTACTATGATGTTTTTATCAATAGTAAACTTTGAAGACTGCTTAAAAAAAAGATTGATAAATATTTCATTTCTTATACATATGAGCCACCTTTTCCCCAAAATATGGGAAGATTTTAGTCCATGGATTCAATATTAGCAAAATACAGATCAGAAGTTTTCCTCGGCAAAGATCATGATTAAATGGCTAAATTCAATAAATAAGTTTTTTTTTTTAATTAGAAATCCTATCAAATAACCTAAATCACAGAAGACTCAGTCATTTTTCTTTTCCAATATATCTTTGGGTTCCTGCTCTGCATCTGAAAGTACCAGAGAATTCCCATTGTTTTCTTCCTTCTTTTCTTCCTCATTGCCTTCATCTCTTACATCCCTAGTTTCAGTTTCCTGTTTAGACACTTCAATTCGTTCTTCTGTATAAGCTACATCTGTGTCAGCCGTGTAGATTCCATAACACATGATGCTGATGACACCCAGTGGCAGGCCAAAGAGAAAACAGCCCAAAAATGGTGAGCTTCTGAATACAGACTGTAGAAAAAAAGAATGAAAACTCAGTTCTATTTAAATTTTTTGTCACTTAAAAACTATAAGTTTTCACCTACAGTGCTGATATAAAAATCAACACATCTATATTTTTACTTCATACTGTCAACATATAACAACTTAAATTTAAAAAAAAAATTCCATATCTGTGGTAACAAAACAGTAGTAAAACAAAAAGTATAAAGACATAAAACCTGGGGGTTTAATTTTTTTCTAAGAAACAGTTAAAATAGCACATATATTAAGTTTGATTTGCTCTTCATTTGATCTATCTCAATGCAGCTATCTACTGTATACATTAACAAAACACAATAGCAAACAGCTTGGTTTACTATTTTCTTCCTATCTGGGACAGAGGGCAGAAAGATTTTACCACCAGGGGCAATGGGGCCACCCAGAACACATTTGATCTGCTTTAGTGCTCACACTGCTTGGACAAGATGGGAATCACTAAACCTAGTAATTCTAGTAAGATGGATGAGGACTAGGTCTTACTATTTGCCCTGCCACTGCATCCTAAGGTTCTTCAGGACTTAAATTCTATCTTGTCTCTCACCCTGTAAACTTCCAGACACTATCATCTTGGCTCACTGGTAGTATCTAAAAATGCCTGGGTCACCGCACCCTGGCCCTTCCATTTGTTCTGCATCTGAACTTTCTTTTATATAATGGCTCTCCAATTATTATATAAACTTTAGAGTACAGACTTTTACTTTGTCTATTTGTATTTTGAGCACTTTGGACAAAAATCAACACTGAATGATAATTCTTTCTTCTCTGTGTTTTGTGACACTGTTCTCTCTTGGTAGTCCTCCTAAACATTAACTGCTACTTCACAGTTTTCTTTGGATCAGCAATCATATTGTACCCCCTAATGGTGGATATACCCCAAGACTCTCTCCTGGTCCCTTTTCTCTCACTACACTATCTCATTTGGTGACCTTATCACCTTCCATGGTCTGTACAGAGATCAATGCAAATTAATTCTAGACCAACATAACTAGCCCTATTCTGCCTTAAGTACTACTCCCTCCATCACCAACCATTCTACTGGACAATTTTAACGAGATCACTGTTGGCATATCAAAGTCAACATGCCCAAAATGGAATTCAATATCCTTCCCTCAAAACCTACTCCTCTTCCAAACCTATTTCCATCAAGAAAACCAACATCCTTCCAGTCACCCTGGTTTGAACCATGGAGTCCTTCTCAACTTCTTACTCTTTCTTACCCCACAGGATCCAATCAGTTTCCAAGTATTGTGAATCCTATTTGCACAGTATCTCTTGCCATTAAAGGCCCAGGCATGTCAATAGTTCATTATCAGAAACTGATAGGACTTTATCACTGGAAATGACATGAAAGAAGTGGCACTACCATCTGCATTGTTGTGGTAACCTAAAAATCAAGGGCCCTTTCCACATAACTTGGAGCTAAAACTTTCCCCATGTGTGCTGTCTCCCTCATTAGAATGAGTTTCTTAAGAGTAGGAACTGTCTTTCTTTTCTATTTGTATTCCCAGGGCTCACCACAGTGCTCTGCACATATTAAGAACTTAAATGTTTTATCCATTCATTCAACTCTCTCATCTATCCCCTTATCTATGAGAGACTGATTTTGACCCTACTTCAGGCTATCATCCTATCTCAGCTGTACTATTGCAAAAGTCACCTAATTGACCTCTTTGCCTCATGTCTCTCCCTATGCCAATCCATTCCTATTTACAAATGCCTTAGTGATATTCCTAAAATACAAATCTGACCACGTCACTCCTCTGCTGAATAAACTTGTAGATCCCTATTACTTCTAGGGATCAAATATAAACTCTTTCAGCATTTAAAGACCTTCACATTATGGAACCATTTACCTTTACAGTATATTATACATTACTTCCCTTTACATAGTCTAAGGTCCAGCTAAATTGGCTTTCTTGCTCTTTCTCATTGATGACTCCACCTCACATTTTCTTAACATTCTACTGGCTGTCCCTCCTTCACCCTAACCCATACCTAGAATGAATTAGATCCTCACCTCTGCTTCTCAGAATCCCTTTTTGCTTCAAAGCTCAGCTTACACACTGCCTTTCATAAAGCCTTTCCTGATGTCCCACCTGCTAGAGCATACTTTTGCAAATTATTGGTATTTATTGTCTGTCTACTTTTTATATACACATGTTGTCTCCCTTAATAACATTAGCTACCTATGCCCAAGAGTTATTTCATTTTTGTCTCTGTATTCTCAACACATGGCATAGTGCCTGGCACAAAGAAGGTATTTAAGTAAATGCCTATTGGTTTGTTTAATAGATTTCCTTCAATTTGGATTTTATCATTATTTATTAAATTTAGATTCTCAGAGTAATCTAAAAGGAACATTTTTGGATACTGACAACCGAATACTATGCTTAGAACAAAGGAATTATGGTGTGAGAATAGTTACGGAGTCAGATAACCCAAGTTCAAATTCTAGCTCTTCTTACTCTCTGGAATAATCACTTAACTCCTTCAGGTCTCAGTGTCCTTATCTATAAAATGGAGACAACTATAAACCTTCTGAGGCATGAATTAGATAAATCATGTAATGTACTCTCAAAACCTTTGCAAGAGTCCCCAAAGTGTGAGATACCATGCCTGTGGGGGGGGGCGCTGGAACAATGGCAGGGAGGGGTGAGGAAGGAGGGAGGAAATAGTAGCCTTGGGTGCAATTGGGGGCCATTAAATAAAAATAAGGGTTAACCTAACCACAGAGGGGCACTGAGTAATTTTTTTAAAGGGGGCAGTAGGCCAAATAAGTTTGGCAACCTTTGCTTACAGAAATGCCAACTTTTACAATTATTAGGTCCTTTTCTGCCTCCATAATTTCTCTGCTAGTTTCTCTCTCTTTGCTCACTTTAAAATCTCATTTCCACCAATTTTTCCAATTAATATGACTAACAAGTGTTTCTCATTTCCCTTCCAATGCACTGACTTATTCACCTCTGTTATCTGTATTTGCTGCTCCAGGCAAAAATTCCTCCAGTCTGTCATATCTTTTTAAAATCTCATTTCAATCTGTTAGTCACACATCCCATTTCACCCTTAATCTAATGGAATGGGTTTCCCTATTATCCCTTCCCACAGTGCCATGCTTTCTTATTTTACTAAATTTCCAGCTTGGACCAAAACCCAGTTTCTTTCCACTACTCTCCTTTCTCTAAATCCCCATAGGCGTGGAAGAGGAGGAAGGTTCATCTACTTCCTGCTGAACTGTGCCACTTTCCAGAACAATGATCTGCCAACAGCACTCCATCTACTAACTATCTGAAGTCCATCTCATCAGATTATGCTACAATCTCCAAAGTATCCAATAACCACCATTCAGGATTGATTGTTACCTTTACCAAGTTGTTCATGTCTCTTATCACCTTTCCCTTAAACATCCATTTGATACCATGGTCTGACAGTTTTATCAGCTCTTCTAATTCACTAATCCTCAACTATATTTTGGCCAAATCTCAACCTCATATAGTAATACTCCAATTCAACATACATTTAGAGTATAATACATACAAGGCCTATGTAAGGCATAGAGGATATAAGGATAACATATTTTACTCTTTGCTGTCAAGGAACTTATATCATCTACCTCTAAGATCTTGAACTTGGTGCTTTCCCCCAGTGCTACTTGACAATCCTTTAATTTATTTATATTTACTTTAATTCAATGCAATCCACCCATTACTCTTCATGGTCTTGGTTTCTTCTACCCATTTACTCTTTAACTTTATTCTATCTATCCTTGCTACTGTATGGAAAATGACTCTTACAGATCGCTGAAAACTGAAGTAGCTAGGTATTCTTGACATTTATAGCATTCAACAATACTGAACCCTTCACTCCTTTGAAATTAATTTAAAAATTATTTGGTTTACATTTTTGCAGAGGTAGAGGCTGCAAATGACGGTTACAATTTTACCCATTCGTACAACAAACAAGTAATAGTAGTCTATCAGTCCACTTATTTCTTAGGACATTTTACGTATTGCAAGTTAATTAAAAAATTCCTTCAAGACATAGCAAGAGAGGGGCAGCTAGGTGGCACAGTGGATAGAGCAGCAGCCCTGAAGTCAGGAGGACCTGAGTTCAAATCCAGCCTCAGACCAAACACTTGACACTTACTAGTTGTGTGACTCTGGGCAAGTCACTTAACCCCAATTGCCTTAAAAAAAAAAAAAAAAGACATAGCAAGAGAATAATTTTCCACCTTGCATTTCAAATTAACTACCTCTGCATTAACCATAGGAATTAGATGAAAGTCTCATATTTATATAGATGACTAGATAATATGAATGACTTTATATACTACTTTTAATTAGCTAACATTGAATTGCATTAACTCATTTCCTTACACAAATCCTTAGAAGCAACTACTATTTTCCATAAGACTTGATTATTTGTTAATAAAAAATATGGAATAGTTCGTTGTTGTTTATTCTTTTTAGTCCAACTCTTTGTGACCCTATGTGGTGTTTTCTTGGTAAAGATACTGGAGTGGTTTGCCATTTCTTTCTCCAGCTCATTTTACAGAAGATGAACTGAGGCAAATAGGGTTAAGTGAATTACCCAAGGTTACACAGCTAGTTAAGTGTCTGAGGCCAGATTTGACCTCAAGAAGATGAGTCTTCCTGTATTCAGGACTAGCATGCTATCCAGTGTGCCAACTAGCTGCCCACTAAATGGTTTAAGTCTGGTTAATTCAAAATACATCTTATTACCAAAAAAGCCCAGCAGCAAGAGATAGAAAGTGAAATTCCATTTAAAATAACAATATAAAATATTTAGACAATATAAAATATTTAGGAGTCTACCTGTCAAAGAAAAACCCAGGAATATGAACACAATTACAAAACACTTTTCACACTATTAAAGTCAGATCTAAACAAATGGAAAAATATCATTTGTTCACTGGTAAGCCAACCTAACATAATAAAAATTACAATTCTTAAAAAAAAATGACAATTCTACCTAAATTTACTAGTTCAGTGTCATACCAAACTACCAAAAATTATTTTACAGAGCTAGAAAAAAATAACAACATTCATCTGGAAGAACAAAAGATCAAGAATATCAAGGGAATGAAAAAAAAATGGAAAGGAAGGTGGCCTAGCCATACCAGATCTAAAACTGTATTATAAAGCAGCAATCATCAAAACTATTTGGTACTGGCCAAGAAGTAAAGTGGTGAATCAGTAGAATAAGTTAGGTACACAAGACATAGTCATCAATGACTATTCTAATCTACTGTTTGATAAACCCAAAGACTCCAGCTTCTGGGATAAGAACTCATTATTTGACAAAAAGTGCTATGAAAACTGGAAAACAGTATAGCAGAAACTAGACATAGACCAACATCTCACACCATATACCAAGAAAAGGTCAAAATGGGTACATGATTTAGACATAAAGAGTAATACCACAAGCAGATTAGGTGAGCAAGGAATTGTTTACCTGTCAGCTCTAGAGAAGGAAAGAATTTGTGACCAAACAAGAAATAGAGAACATCATAAAACGTAAAGTGGATAATTTTGATTATATTAAATTAAAAAGGGTTTACACAAACAAAACCAATACAACCAAAGGTAGAAGGAAAGCAGAAAGCTGGGAAATGAATTTTATTGCCAGTGTTTTTGATAAAGGCCTCATTTCTGAGTCAAAATTATAATACAAGTCATTCCCCAATTGATAAGTGGTCAAAGGATATGAGTAGGCAGTTTTCAGAGAAAGAAATTAAAGCTATCCCTAGCCATATGAAAAAAATAATGCTCTAAATCACTACTGATTAGAGAAATGCAAATTAAGACAACTCTGAGGTACCACTTCTCACCAATCAGATTGGTTAATATGCCAGAATAGGAAAATGATAAATGTTAGAGATGATGTGGGAAAACTGGAATCCTAATGCATTGTTGGTGGACTTGTGAACTGATCCAACCATGCTGGAACTATATCCAAAGGGCTATAAAACTCTGCATACCCTTTGATCCAGCAACACCACCACTAAGTCTGTATTCCAAAGAGATCATAAAAAAGGGAAAATGACCTACATGTCCAAAAATATTTGTAGCTGCTATTTTTGTGGTAGCCAAGAACTGGAATTTGAGGGGATGCCCATCAATTGGAGAATGGCTGGAAAAGTTGTGGTATACGAATGAAATGGATTACTATTGTGCTATAAAAATGATGAACAGGTAGACTTCAAAAAAACCTGGAAAGACTTACATGAACTGATGCAGAGTGAAATGAGCAGAACCAGGAAACATCAACAGCAACAATATGCAATGATCAACTATGGTAGACTGAGCTCTTCTCAGCAATATAATCATCCAAGAAAATTCCAAAACACTCATGACGGAAATTGCTATCCACATCCAAAGAAGAACTATGGAGTCTGAATGCAGACCAAAGCATACTATTTTCACTTTCTTTTGTTTTCTCTTTTTCATGGTTTTTCCCTTTTGTTCTTTTTCTTCTTGCACAACACAACTAATGTGCAAGTATGTTTAACAAGATTGTACGCGTATAATCTATATCAGATTGCTTGCTATCTTGGGGAAAGGGGAGGGAAGAGAAAGTGGGAGAAAAATTTGGAACTTAAAATCTTACAAAAATGAATGTTGAAAACTATCTTTACATGTAATAAAAAAAAAATAGAATACTATTAAGAGAAAAAATAAAAGGATTTTTGCTGCTAGAAAAAGAAAAACAGAAAAACCAAAAATACATCTTCTTCTTCTCATTTGTGCTTTGAGATTTTACTGTTATGAGGTTGTACTCTGGATGAATCACAAAAATCTATTTATCTTTCATCATTATTTACTCCCCCCCAAATCTTACCACAATAGTAGTCCTGACATCATAACATATTCTTTTCAATCTCTGCAAAATTCCATCACCACCCCGGGCCTGAAATTTCAGACAAAATATAAGTTAAAGAGACACAGAGTGCTAATCTTTTTATTTATTTCTCTTTACATCATATAATAATTGTTACTAGAAGATACTTTCAAATGATAAAAAACCTAAAGCTTGTTTAGAAGAAGGAAATCAGGACGTTCAGAGGTCAGAAGATCATGCAAATAATGACTCGTTAAAAGAACTTGGTTCTTAGTCTGGAGAAGAGAAGATTTGGCAAGGGCATCAGTGCCTTGAAATATGTAAAGGTCAGTTCAGTGGTAGACAGATTAAATTTCTTAAATTTAGCCAGAAGACAGAAATAGAAATAATACTTAGCTTGATGTAAAGACAAATTTCCATCTTAACCTATCTAAAAGTAGATGCCTAGGGCAGGTAGACGATTACCTAATATTGGAGGTTCTCATGCATAAGAGCTAGATATCTATTTGTTACTGAGTCTCTTGGGTTTGGAACGGAATAAGTAACTTCTGAGATTCCTTCTAAGTGAGTTCTTTTTTGTGAGAAGAAAAATGAAAAAAATGGAATAATCAGAAAATCAGGTGAAATATGAGAATAAAGTGTCATGGAAGCCAAAAGAAGACACAACATTGAGAAGCAGGGGCAGATTTCAGTTTCAAATGCTACAGGATGAGGCTTAAGAAAAAGGTGGTATTTGGCATTTTGTTTTATCATACTCTTTAGAAAGACTGACCAAACAGCTTTAGAGTTTTATTTAAATTGAATTGAGCTACTTACTTCTATTGTGCCATCCAAAATATCATTAATGAACTGCATCACATCATCAGGACTCTCAATATGTCTAGATGGCAGAAAATACTGATGGTTTGAAGTATTTATTGCAACTACAGTTGGAACACTCAATTCACTAAAAACATGAAAAAGAAAGAGGTCAAAATACAGAAATTCACAGAATACTTATATGAACTAAAACTTAGTAAACAGATATAGGGAGCAGACTTGTGATTCCACTGGCATCATAGGCAACTCTCATTTGGAGAAACTCCATGTTTTAGTGCAAGTAGGCAAATTGTCTGCAAATTAGTCTTAAGAGAGCTGCATGAAGCAGTCATATGGACTCACTCAGGGTCATTCAGATGTATCAGAGGAGAGACCTGAACTGAGGTATTCTTGGATCCAAGACCAGCTTGCCATTCACTACATCCCAAAGCTTCTCCTAAAACTAAGTACTAAGGTTATATATGCTATATTTAGGTAACTATAATTACCAAAAAGTATATCCTATTACTTTTAAGTAGGTAATGTCTGCATTTCAATATTATGTTTTCAACTTTCAAACTTCAGCACTAAATACTTTTCAATATATATTAGCAAGCATCCTATCACTAAGGTTTTAGCTGAAAACCAAACATATAGTCTTAGGTACTTATAAATTTTAGATTTAAGGCAAATATAATTTAGGACTTTTACTTCTGATAAATACATAATATTTATTTCAAATTGCCTTCAAAATTGAGTAACTTACAGTTTCACAAATTGCTCTATATACACAATTAATTGACATCTGGATAAACTGCCTATTCAACTTTACTTAAGAAACATAGCAAGAAGTCTTAGTCTCTCCTGCTAGTTTACTAAGATTTATGTATCATAATATAAATCTGACAAGTTTATTTCAGTGAACATGAAAATTACTCAAAAAAATACTAACTCAAAAAGATTTTTACCTTAAATATAAAGATAAAATGGAAACGTATTTGAAATGCAAAGTGAAAAATTATTCCCCTCCTCTGTCCTGAAGGAACTATTTTAATTAACTAAAAATAGGACAAAGATTATTACCTGAAACTTTTAAGTTTAATTAATTCAAATCTGATGATACAAAAATATTAAGAAGCATAACTGAGACTCATTCAAGTGCTTAAAGATTAGGAATAACAAGGAAAAAGAAATTTTTTGAGAATTGCATCTTGAAGTACTTGAAATAACATACTTTTTTATTTTTACTAATTAATTTATTTTCATCTATCAACAATCATTTCCATAAGCTTTTGAGTTTTAAATTATTCTCCCCCTCCCTCCCCAAGATGGCATGCAAGCTGATATAGGCTCTACATAGACATTCCTATTAAACATATTTTTACATTAGTCATGTTGTAAGGTAGAATTAGAACCAATAAAAGGAATCACAAGAAACAAAACAGAAGAAAAAAAAAGAGCAAATAATATGTTTCAATATGCATTCAAACTCCATAGTTCTTTCTTTGGATGTAGATAGCATTTCCCATCATGAGACCTTTGGAGATGTCACAGATCCTTGCATTGGTGAGAAGAGCTAAGTCTATCAAAGTTAGTCACGGCACAACATGGCGGTTACTGTGTACAATGTTCTCCTGGTTCTGCTCCCTTCACTCAGCATCAGTCCATACAAGTCTTTCCAGGTTTTTCTGAAGTCCTCCTGCTCATTATTTCTTATAGTACAATAGCATTCCATTACATTCATATACCACAATTTGTTCAGCCATTTCCCAATTAATGGGCATCCCTTCAATTTCCACTTCTTTGCCACCACAGAAACAGCTGCTACAAATATTTTTGTACATGTGGGTCCTTTCCCCATTTTTATGATCTCTTTGGGATATAGCCCCAGAAGTGCTATTGCTGGGTCAAAAAACAAAGGGTATGCACATTTTTATAGCCCTTTGGGCATTGTTCCAAATTGCTCTCCAAAATGGCTGGATCATTTCACAACTCCACCAGCAATGCATTAATGTTCCAATTTTCCCACATCTTCTCCAACAATTATTATTTTCCTTTTTTGTCATGTTGGTCAATCTGACAGGTGAGATGTGGTACCTCAGAGTCGTTTTGATCTGCATTTCTCTAATCAATAGTGATTTAGAGCATTTTCTCATATGACTATAGATGGCTTTAATTTCTTCACCTGAAAACTGCCTACTCATATCCTTTGATCATTTATCAATTGGGGAATGACTTGAATTCCTATTAATTTGGCTTAATTCTCTATATATTTTAGAAATGAGGCCCTTATCAGACACATTGGTTGTGAAAATTCTTTCCCAGTTTTCTACTTGCCTCCTAATCTTTGTTGCACTGACTTTGTGCAAAAACTTTTCAATTTAATGTAATCAAAATTATCCATTTTGCATTTCATAATGTTCTCTATCTCCTGTTTGGTCATAAATTCTTCTGTTCTCCATTAATCTGAGAGGTAAACTATTCCCTGCTCTCCCAGTGTGCTTATTGTATCAGCCTTTATATCTAAATCATGAACCCATTTTGACTTTATTTTGGTATATGGTATGAGATTTTGGTCTATTCCTAGTTTCTGCCACACTCTTTTCCAGTTTTCCTAGCAGTTTTTATCAAATAGTGAATTCTTATCCCAGAAGCTGGGGTCTTTGGGTTTATCAAATAGCAGATTACTATAGTCATTGACTACTGTGTCTTGCATACCTAACCTATTCCACTGATCCTTTCTTAGCCAGTACCAAGTAGTTTTGATGATTGCTGTTTTATAGTACAATTTCAGATCTCCTGTGGTTAGGTCACCTTCCCCTGCATTCGTTTTTTTTTTTAGCCGTATGCCCAATTCATTGATCTCTTCTTTTTCTATTTTATTTATGTAAGCATTTAGAAATATAAAACTTCCCCTAAGAAGTGCTTTTGCTGCATCCGCTAAGTTTTGGTATGTTGTCTCATTATTGTCATTCTCTTGAATGAAGTTGTTTCTATGATTTGTTGTTTGACCCATTCATTTTTTAAAGATTACTTAGTTTCCAATTATTTTTTAGTCTCTCTTTCCATGGCCCTTTATTGCATATAATTTTTATTGCATCATGATCTGAAAAGGATGCATTTAATATTTCTGCCTTTCTGCACTGGACTGTGAGGTTTTTATGCCCTAGTATATGGTCAATTTTTGTGTATGTGCCATGTATTGCCGAGAAAACAAGTATATTCCTTTCTATTCCCATCCAATTTTCTCAAGAGGTCTACCAAATCTACCTTTTCTAATATTTTATTCACCTCCTTAACTTCTTTATTTTGTGGTTAGATTTATCTGTTTCAGAAAAGGGGAGACTGAGGTCCCCCACTAGAATAGTTTTGCTGTCTATTTCTTCCTGTAACTCCCCGAACTTCTCCTCTAAGAATCTGGATGCTATACCATTTGGTGCATATATGTTTAGTAATGATATTACTTCATCATCTATAGTCTTTTAGCAGGATGTAGTTTCCTTCATGTCTTTTGATAAGATCTCTTTTTTGCTTTTGCATTGTCTGAGATCAGGATTGCTATCCCTGCTTGTTTCACTTCAGCTGAAGCATAATATATTCTACTCCAGCCTTTTACCTTTACCCTGTGTGTGTCCCTCTGTTTCAAACATATTGTAGAATTATGGTTTTTAATCCATTCTGCTATCTGCTTCCCTTTTATGGGAGAGTTAATCCCATTCACATTCACGGTTATGATTACTATCTGTGTCTTTCCCTCCTGTTTATGCTTTTCTTTCTCCTTTCTCCTTTTCCCTCCTCACTAGTGTTTTGCTTTTGACTATCACCTCCTTCAGCCCCTCCTTTCTTTTCTTCCCCTTTACTCTTACTACTTCTTCCCTCCCTTCTATCCACCCTTCCTTTTCTTTCCCCTTTCCCCTCCTACTGCCTATAGGGCAAGTTAGAGTTCTATACCTGACTGATTATATAATTCCCTCCCTGAGCCAAATCTGATGACAGTACGGTTCAAACAATGCTCATCTCCCTCCCTTCTTTCCCTCTACTGTAATAGGTTTTTGTGCTTTTTCCTGTACTGTAATTTACCCTTCTCTGTTTCCTCTTTTCCTTTTCTCCCAGTACATTCCCTTAGTTAGATCAGATTAATCCACTTACTTAGATCCAATTAACCCATTTGATTAGATTTTTTTATCATGACATCAAAGTCAACTCATATCCACCCCCTCTATGTATACCCCTTTAAAATGGTGTAATAACAATACACTTCTCAAGAGTTACAAGTATTATTTTCCCTTGTAGGGATATAAACAGCTTGCTCTTATTAATAACATGTTGTTGTTTTTTTCTGTCCTGTTTAGCTTTTTATGTCTCTCTTGAGTCTTATATTTGAAGATCAAATTTTCTGTTGAGCTCTGGTCTTTTTATCAGGAAGGTTTGGAAGTCCCCTATTTCATTGAATGCCCATCTCCTCCTCTGAAAGATCATGCTCATTTTCACTGGGTAACTGATCCTTCGTTGTAATCCAAGCTCCTTTGCCTTACAGAATATCATATTCCACGCCCTATGATCTTTTAATATACAAGCTGCAAGGTCCTCAGTAGGCCTGACTGTGGTTCCATGATATTAAATTGTTTCTTTCTGGCTGCTTGCAGTATTTTCTCTTTGACCTGGTAATTTTGGAATTTGGCTAGTACATTCCTTGGCATTTTCAATTTGGAATCTCTTTAAGGAGGTGATCAGTGGATTCTTTCTATGGCTATTTTACCCTCTGGTTCTAGGACCTCAGGGCAGTTTTCCTTGATGATTTCCTGAAAGATACTGTCCAGGCTCTTTTTTTCATCGTGATTTTCAGGTAGACTAGTAATTTTAAATTGTCTCTCTTGGATCTATTTTCCAGGTCAGTTGTTTTACCAATGAGGTATTACACGTTTTCATCTATTTTTCATCCTCTTGGAGTTGTGCTTCCCAGAGTTTTGTTTAGGCACCTGGAGACTTGGCTACTGGAGAATGCCATGACATGTGGTGGTTTTCTGAGTCCATTTCCACTGGTTCGCCTGCCTGTACTGAGGTACTCAGGGATCCTGGTGTTGGTGCTTGCCTTCTCCACCATCTGGGGTTCAGGATCTCCCCCTGGAATGCTGAGGCAGGGCCTTT